TCTAGCTTTGCCCGGGCCTTCTATATATATGTCCCGGCCTGTGTCAGTTTTTTTATGACTTTTATATCTCATTTTGTTCTCTGACTCTCGGTGCTTAACGTGGCGGTGGGATTGCCAGAAGCGCTCCTGCCGCCATGGTGTAAGCATATCGCATAACCTCTTTACAGCACAGCGGCTGTTGTAGACGGTCCCTGTCTCAGGAATTGTGTATGATCACAATTCTCTAAGTAATGTACGAGTGTGACGTTCGGCTCGCCGTAGTGCAAGAGAGCGAGCGAACGAGCAAGCGAAAGAAAGAAAATTACTATTCAGTGGAACCTACAGACGCCAACAAGCTGGTACATGTATTGCGGTGCTCTCTCTCTCTCTCTCTCTCTCTCTCTCTCTCTCTCTCTCTCTCTCTCTCTCTCTCTCTCTCTCTCTCTCTCTCTCTCTCTCTCTCTCTCTCACACACACACACACACTCACACACACACACACACACACAACACACACACACACACACACACACACACACACACACACACACACACACACACACACACACACACACACACACACACACACACACACACACACACACACACACACACACACACATATATATATATGCCGCCATGGTGTAAGCAAGTATATATATATATATGTGTGTGTGTATGTGTGTGTGTGTGTGTACATATACACATGCACATATACTGCGTGTGTATGTGTCTCTGCATTTGGAATTACATACTATATACATACAGCGTATGTGTGTGCAAAGCCGGGCGTCTTCTTGGCCTTCTTCACTTGTCGCTGACCAATCACGCGCTAGTACTGCTCCCTAACGTCCTTGAGTCGAGGTTTCCTATTGGCTAGAATACTTGTTGCTGGCCTTCACGTGGTATCTCTCTTCTACTCTTTGTCCATCTTATGCTCTTTGTCCGTCTTATTCTTTCGACTGCATGTAGTATTTTAACATCTATCCCATGAAAAATGTTAGTAAATTTCATTATTGCTTGCGTTCAGTTCGCATGTTAAACTTGGACGAACACTACGAGCCAATTAACTGCCACAATATGGGAATCAGTAAATACTACAATTACTACAGCAGTTGCGCAATTCTGCAAAATGCTGTCTTCAGTGAGACAACGTTGCACGGACCGAACCTCTGTCCGTCAGTTGCATCATTCTCTCTCCACAATAAACTAAGTCTGATACACCTTCACCACTACCCAAGACTACCGCATCTGCACCTTAACGCTCTTGGCCTCGTTAGAGAAACACACATCTGCGCAAAAAAAAAATTGGCGCCAATATAGCAAAGCTATTATTCGGGATTATTTTAAGGCTGTTTTATACTCTAGGCCAGGGGTGTGCAACCTTTTTTCCCAAAGGGCCACTAGTCACGACTCTGTTGGTATGGAGGGCCACATAACCTTACTATTTCATGTTATTTACTACGGTCGAAGACATATTATGTGAGATTATACTGATAAAGGTAGGAAATAATTTTGTTACTGATTTTATTTATATTGGGATCACAAAAATATGAATTCTCCGAAACAAATGCATTTTCCTTACTATAAATTAGCAAATGAAAGGCTACCGTACCTTATTATTATAATGTACAAACATAAATACTTAGTTATTGTTGGTTGACTGGGATCATTAACAAGAATTATTATAAAAAACAGACATTTCCTGAGCATTAATTTGCAAATGAAAGGCTACCCTAGTGAGATGGTTGATGTTGCATTTGGGACACCAACTCATCAATATCAGGCTGTATGGATGATGTGGCTACACGCAGGGTACTTTCCAAATGTTCATCAGTAAGTGAAGATCTATACTTGTTTTTAACCAGATTCATTTTTGAAAAGAGCA